GGAAAACATCATTACACTAATTATGTCTATTAACATTTAATTAAACTTCAAAAGAAACTAGCAAATTTTTTAAATAAATGATAAAAGATCGACATCAATTATAATGTAGTGGTACAGTAAATAGTTGAATAAAAATGATTTTTTATCCAGAAATACATTAATTTTAAAAACGTTCTTGACATATAAGTACAAATACATTTTTTTGTATTTGCTCTTTGTAGAAATATAATCAGACTTTCGAATACATTTCAGGGCTAAATAATAATTATTCAGAAATATAGGTAGGTACACAGAATAGCCAGACAACATTTTTATATATGTTTTTCATAATTTATTCGTCTCCTGTCATTTGTCGCAATTACTTCATTTTTTATTCCGTTAATCTCCTCAAATACTTCATTTCTTGCCATTACCATTGTCTTTGTCTTAAAGTTGAATCCAATATATACTCGCAACTGAAAAAATTTCGACTTGTCCTATATTCAATATTTCACCCTAACTTTGCTGTATTTACACACTACATTGTTGCCAAGTAATGTATATTTAATTAACAGAATATGTTAATATCGCTTTAGTACAATTGAAACCTAAAATTTTAATAGTTATTTATTGCTTTTAAAAATCTTATTCTGGAGACAAAAGTAGCATTTCCTTTATCACAGACTTATACACAACCACCAATTGAGTATAGCAACCTTCTATTTCACAAGAGATGATGATTTAATTTATCTTGTTTTCGATTACATACTATAACAAATATCAATTTTCATTTACCTAGTACTGATGGTTATTTTACTTGTTTTGTATCCATTGTGATCATTTTTTTTATTCAGTTAGTTATGCGATATATAGCAAAGACAAATGAAAATTTGTTAACTCGTTTGCAGTTTGTCTAAGAAAAAAGGCAACTGTCCACATGTATCATCAAATAATCATCAGCTCCAACAACAAAAACAGCTCTATTGCTAGAATACAAACCATACTGAAATCTAGTGGAAGCTGTGGGATCCATCATTGGGTAACTCAAAGATAAAATTTTGAAAAAGGTACTTACATTGTAACAAAAATGCATCACATAACTTATAAAAAGATCTACGAATTCCGACTGAGGTGAAGATGAAGTAACCTATAATGTTCAATTAAAATATTGCAACAGTTATTCATTCTACATATGCTGACCATAAATCATTAAACAAAAATTTTTCGAACTTCTGGTACTCCAAATGCAAGCTCAACTTACAAACTTTATGAAAAATTCTACTCATAAACACTCGATTACCATATCTATCTAATAAACTTATTTTGAATAGAGCACACTATACTATAACCAACGCGTTGTAAAAATAATCCGTCAGTGCACTTTTTGGCATGTACAGTTAGCCTTGCAATGAGCAACAAAGAGAAAACATATCCTGTCTGAGCTAACTTCCAAACCAAACTTATCAAAAAGCACCAGTACTTTTGAAGTGAATTTTTATGAGTCGATGTGAAACAAAAATTCAATTATGGATTGAGAGACAATTTAATTTAAAAATGTTGCTTGGCAAAATCACCTTGTAGTTTTAAGAAAAATGTTAGCACATGGGTATAATTTTGGTAAAAATAAATATAGGTAGTAAAGATCCCCTTATCGATGTACTGACTGGGAATGGCAGTATATCAAAACGAGGTTGCGATTGAAAAATAAATGAAAAAGTAATTTTTACGAATCAAGCACTATCCATGACCATAATATTTATATAAAATTTTAACAATAATATACTAATCAATTGAATAACAAAATATCGTAACAGTATAACACAGAAATACATGGAGCAAAAGTGCATCATCTGTACTTCCCCGTTATGTAGAAATTTTTATGCATATATTTTCGTAAAGATATGGGTGACATTTTTTGATTGCATTGCTTAATAAATTTAGAAAGTAGAAATAATTTCAATATTTTATGTGAAAATGTATTTCGAATGATCGACAAAAGCACATTATTTAGTATTTAAAGGATAAATGCAAAAATATGGCTAAAATGTCACACATACACAATTTATATATTTTTTGGTAGGCATAAAAAAATTGTGAAGTTTGCAAAGTTTTCCCACTCGCCCCTTCCCCATTAGCGGTCCACGTAGCATGTGAAGATAGCTTGAATATTAGCAATTGAAGAAAGCACCATTATAAAAGTAAAATTTTTTGTGAATTTTTAATATAGTCCATTTTTTATATTTACGTTCATTCATTCATAAATCAGTCATGTTTAGAATAAATATCTTTACAAAATTCTTAAAAATGCACCATCTTTAAATTCATCCCGTAGTTTTGTGCATCAAGGAATTCTTATAAAGAGAACTACTTTCAAAAATATTTACTTTTCGATGGAATTATTATTGATTAACCAGAATCAAATAACTAAAAATTAAAGCAATGTTTTGGAGACATTTTGGGAATATCTGTCCCCAAGTTATTTAAACAATAATTTTAGTTACTCCGATTCAAGTAAATACTTTCTAGGTATTACATTTCACATCAACTCAAATACTGATCCCATATTCAATATTTAACGTTGAAAATATTTCCATATCTCAAATGTATAAGGAATAATAAAAAACATGCCAATAAAAATATACAACATTGCAATATATATAATTATCACTGGATTCACCATTAAACTGTGCTTAAAAACGTCATTTGACATATAAGGCAAAGATTTTAGCTCGGGCGGAATTCTGGTAGTTTTAACCATTTGTTGAAACTGGCGAAACATTGATAAAAATTAGAAGCGGAAATTGATTTCAGCAAACACGTTTTATTTGTGTACAGATTTAATTTTATTCCAAATTTTCCACATTTTGTCTATTAGTTTTATACATTAAATCTGAAAACAGACAAACGTATTCTTATAAATACAGTCCAAAACTGTCAAATCATTTTATCTAAAACAAATTATTTCAATTTTTTTAATAATAAATAAAGAAGTAATGAAAATTGGAATAAAAAGTTAAATAATTTCAGTGCATTTTTCTCAATTAGAAAAGTAGAACCGTACTGCAGCTAAATGTACACTTAGATGCAAAAAATTCGATCCATCATATATTTCCCATTTATTGTGACTTTTCAAACTTAGAACTTGTTATATGGCATATATAAATTTAGAGAAACCCTCGTATAAGTTCAATTATATACATTTAATATTCCTTCTTACATTTATAACAGATCTAAAATTGACATCTGCAAAAAAAATTTATTCGCTAAAAAATAGAAATGATCGAATTTTTTGCACCCGAGTATAGTATTTGAGACATTTTTTTTATTTAAATGCTCACTTTAAGATGAAGTGTTTTAGATAAATGATGGACGAAACAGTATCCAAATCGAAACGATTATTTGCATTGATGTAGGTATTTTCTAAAATTGATTATTTAGACCATTGGACGTATTTTATTTAGGATGATTTTAAAAATTGGCAAAGTAAAGTTGGACTTGTCGAATTTGAATCAGTATTTGGTTAATTAATGCATACTTCTGAATTAGTTCAGTCTCTATTACTCAACATTGAGAAACAAAAACCAAACTTCGGTTATTACAGGTTTATCATGACATAGTAACAGTTACACTGTTTTTAAATTTTTATAATTTTACATTAATGAATTTAAGGTCCTATGAATTTCGATGTTTGTGCTTGTTGCTACGTTCAATTTGTTCTTTAAAAGAAGCATCGACATCTGAAATTAACAGGACGTCAGAATAAATAGAAAAATATAAACCCATTCAACTGCTTTTATATTATTGCAAATAACCTAGATAAAAATGTTACAAAAGAATTAGTGCTGGGACACTATTCCTAAAGTAAACTATACTTTCAACTAGGTAGAATTAGCAACTATTACTGATCATAAAACTATGTAGAGCCAAAATAAGCTTGTTTATCATGTAAAAATCTTTGAATTAGATAACCTACTTGCTACTTATTTTTATTTATTTATTTATTTATATCTTGTTTATGAAGCGAAAAATTATATAATTTCGTTTCACTTTCCCAGAAAAGAACAATGAAACTTAGAACAAACCCTGTATACCTTTTTTATGAATACTAATTTGATTTCTATTGATGATATTTTTTTAATCTAGTATTTTAATTTTCAATTGTGCTACAGCATGCAGATATTTTTACTGATTTGGTATTGCCTAATATGTTTATAAAGACATTAAATGATATACAAGCTTTAATATTCACACAGCCATTTAAGAAATTAACTAAAAGTAGGTAGTGTAATATTTATGATTAGATACACCTATGGCAATTGTACTTTACAGAATAATTGATCCACTAAGAAAATCTTAATTATCCGCTAGGAAAATATCATTTTTTCTGCCATGTTATGATTTTTTATAAACAAACTTTCTCTGTAGGTAGTTTGTAAAGTACAAGGGTGTAATTTTATTGACTTGTTGAAAATAGTAATATGAACAGTGCAGCAGTTGATTTATACCCAAAAAACGATACTCTCTCCATCAAACTACACTGCACAAACCTAAACACGCAAAGTTTTATCTCGGTTATTTATTTATATTTATTTCGTATTAAAAGTATCTCGGTAACAAATATCTAGTTCAGTTTACAGCGCAAAATGCACCAGTTCTAAGCTCAATGTTGGATCACCGAAAGAAGAAAAACAGTTACTGTTAACACCAACATATATTGTAACTCTGAAGGCACTGTATAGTTTCATTATGGTGTAAAAGCATTTAGCACCTTCTTTGTTGAAAGTAACTTATTTTTCTACTTGGAATGCCATTAAAAACGAAAAACGAACAAGTGAAAGCGAATGTTGAGCTCTGTAAACTGTTGGGTTGATTATTTAAGATTGAAAGATTAAAAATATGTTACCGATCCGAGATAAAGAATCACGTGCTTGTTGTGAGGCCATCTGTTTCTGAACATAGCCCATAGCAGCGTGTTTATCCGCCGACGACTATGACAGGGGTGGGGAGGGGCGGGGCCAGTCTCATACGTCCGCAGTTCGTGAACTGATGCTGGGTGTTCGACTGTGTATCACTACTTTGTGCCCGTTTCTTTCCACCAAGACTGCTGTCTGTCGAGCTTCGAGCTCCCCATCACCGTCGAGATCACCCTCGTCGCCGGATTGATCGGTGGCACCACCTCGATTCCTTTTGTGCTTTCTCCACGCGTTTTGGATCAACCGAGCACAATATTCTTCCCTTTGCCGCCAAAGTGTTGAACTGACTGGTTCGTAACCGACTTCGTTTGGCCTACCTTGCACTTCGGCCAGCTCAGCAGTTTCTTCAATAGCGTTACCCTTTCGAGCGAAAAAGTCTTTGGTAAGAGCATCTAATATATCTACACAAAACATGAGATCACCCTTGCAAATTGGAATATCCATTGAAACTATTTTGTATTTATTTGGTTTGTGTATCTGCAGTGGAGGTTCCAATACGTCTAAGAAATCAGAAAGCTGATCGTATCTTATATACTGTGTTCCATCTGGATCAAATTGCTGCCAGATCTCGTAGTACATATCATAATCATCGTCCGTTAAACCTTCTTGAACATCTTCAGTCGCTTGAGAGTAGTTCTCCAAAATAACGGCAATGTACATGTTTATGACTATGAGAAATGATATTACGAGATAGCTCAGTAGGAAAGCTATGCCTATTGTGGAATTACCACAATTACCCGTTTCTCCTATTTCGTTGTCTGGTTGCTTGCAGTTATCCTCATTTATAATTCCATCTAAGACGCCATCCCAACCCGCTGAAGTGGACATCTGAAATTTTAAAAATATTGCAAAACATATTCTTTAAATTTGTAACTATACTATGTTCGAATAAGTACAAAGAGCATTAGAATGTGGTACCTGGAGTTGTACTCATAAGGTACTCTACAAATTTTGGTTAATTTTAAAATAATTTATACAAATATATATTTATTTTCTTAAAAGCGATCTCACGTAATTTTATAAGTTATTTGTTTTTTAGAAACAATAATAATGGCAATAAAGCCCCAGAAAAATAACCTGAACCTTAAAGTAGATAATACAATTTTTTTTGTGAATGACTCTGTAACTAACCATATACACGTATACAGTATCGACTTTAAACACTTTCCAAAACACTTTGCTAATGTCGAAGTGAAAACTGCAGAGAGAGCCATCTATTGCCAGCGGTAAACGAATAATAACAACGTTGCCGTGTCCGCTATTCACACGGCGAGGGATATCCTCAGGCGACCGGCTGGCTATGTTGTAATTAGTCGTTTCCTGCTCGACCTTATGCTAATTCTGTTGTTGTCACTTGGATATTAGCAAAGCGTATTGGAAAACATGCAACAATCGATACTGTAAAGAAAGCGCAACAGGTCTTATAGGCCAAAGGCTAAATTTACAATTTTCTCCATTTTCTTTTTCCTTGAGAGCTTCTCTCCACCGATTAACATCTCAAAATCTGCAGATCTTCCTTCTCTTGTTGTCTTGCCACTCTCGGTCTACCTCTTCTGTATCTGTAAAGTGTGGAGAGTGGGTTAACTCAAGGCACTTAGGCCTCACTAAGCCCATTGTGCATCCTCCTAAGATGACGGGCACCTCCTAGCTCGTGAGCCAGGCTACAGATTTAATGTAGTTGACAAGGTTGCCAAGAGGTGCTTCTCTTATATCGGCCGGTGTTAGCCAATTCTCGCCGAACACAAATCTTCTAATAAATGAGAACGTCGGGCAATCGTAGAAGATATGCTCGATGGTATCATCTACTTGTTCGCACCCCTGCAGAGTAGAGATTCTGACAGCCCCATGATATGTAAATGCTTTCGTAGTTGGCAACGTTCAGTCAAAATGCCTGTGATCAGTCGCAGATTCTTCAGTCATAGTCACGTATTTATTCGCTGTAGTGTTGTCAGGATAACTTAAAAGCTCCTGCAAGTTTGCAGCTTCTTGTGCCATCTCATCTTTCTTTGAATTTTACAAGGGAATGGTCCTTAATTTGGCCTGTCACTACCGATGTTGATAGTCCAATAGAAGAGCCAGGTCCAAAAAGTATTTTGTTGGCTGCCTTCTTGGCAAGTGAATCAGCAATACAGTTACCTTTCGATGTGGCGCGACCTTCGGTCCATCTTAAGTTGACCACATTGTTGATGGATACTTCGGCCAAAGCTTCGTGACATTCTAGTATTAACCCTAAATAAATTCGTAGTCTGTCCAGGGTAAGTAGTGCTTGTCTGCTATCTGTATAGACGAGCATGTTTCTTCCAGTGATATTATTTCCAGTGATTTCGTTAGCTGCTATGAGAATCCGCTCAGCTCGGTTTGAATTACACTGGCACTACTGCTCACAGCCCATTTTATGGTTAGATTTAAGGATCTGCAGTATATTCCACATCCTAAGCCTTGTTTTGTTTTAGAACCGTCAGTGTAGATATGAATCGTTCCTGCCACTTCCGGCTCTTCTATTTGTTCTGCTATAACTTTATATGGCTTATGGAAGATATATCTCGGTGAAATGGAGTCCATGTTCGCTTGAAGCCGTGGGAGCGTATTGAGCGCCTCCTGCCAAAAGCGACTTCCCGCCTCACCAGATCCTACATCAGGTTCTATTTCAACAGTGCGGAGGTGTGTCATTGTAATCAAAGCAACCTCCTCGATGTAAATCTCAAGGGGAGTGAGACTAAGAATGACTTCAGCTTTGTATTTAGGAGTTCTGGTAGTTTTAATTCTATTTTCATCCTTTTCCTTGTGAAAAGGTCAATTTCTGTATTTTTGGGATTGACAGAGAGTGAATGGTCCTTGCACCACTGTTCTATAATTTTAAGTGCTACTTGCATTCTTTCGCAAAATTTCCTGTTTGCAGAATGACGAGGTCATCTGCATACGCTATTGTGTAGTGACTGTCATTATTGAGGGGACTGATGAGGGTGTCGAGGACCACGTTCCACAGCACCCCTCCCTGTGGACATCCCCTGCAACCAAGCCTCTTATATTCACATATTTTACACTTATGTTTACTGCTCGCTTTGAGAGCATGTTTTGTATCCACCCACTAACCATCAGTGGAACATTCCTGTTGTTTCGTGAGTGTATTATCTTGTGGTAGGTCGTCTTATCAAAAGCACCTTCTATGTCTATGAAAATACCCAAGGCGGACTCTTTATAGTTCAGTGATCTCTCTATCCGGCCAGCAACTAGGTGAAGGACTGAATCAGTAGATCTGTCTGGGTGTATGCATGTTGATTTGGGTATAGTGGTGTTGTTGTAATCACCACATTCCTTATGTACCTTTCGTATAGTCTACTTCTTCTTATAATAGTTTGGGGTCGGTGGGTCAGGACGGCTTTTGCCATTTTATCATCTTGCATTCAATGAATTATGTCCCATCTACCATATTCTTTGGGCCTTGATGACTTTTACTATATATACATCTGCTTCAAGATAAAATGGTATCGAGACGACGTGAAAAATCCATTTTGTAGCTAGATAAGTCTTGACAACTGTCTAGAATATTTGACAAGAAGATAAAAAGTTTAAAACAAGCATATATGGATGATTGGTCAACAGGATTTAAAAATCCAACTGGGAAAGGGCGTCGTTTGATAATTGGTCATGTTGGATGAATTGCTGGTTTTGTTGAGGATGTTTTATTGGTATTCATTTCAAAGAGTCAACGACCATAACAAAATGAATGTCAAGGGGTTCGAAAACTAGTTAACTCAATACTAGAAAAAATTTTAATGGATCAGTAATAGTTATGGATAATCTAGTCAAGAAAAATTACCAACGAGTAATTGTACAAAAGCTGATATCATTGAATGGTTTATCAAAGGTCATACTGTTTCAAAGGTAGAATACAAATAATATAAGAAATTCAAAGCAAGAGGTCATGGATGATTGATCAACAGGATTAAAAATTCAACTGGGACAGTCCATCGTTTGATAATTGGTCATTTTGGATCAACTTCTAATTTTATTGAAGATGGTTTGTTGGCATTCCTTCAAAGAGCCAATGAATATCATGAAAAAATTAATGCCAAGAGGTTCGTAGCACAATTTTATGAAATTGCCATACAGCATACCAAAATGTGTAGGAGAAGAACTCGAAAATCATTGCGATCGAATTAATTTGGACACAAGAGAAAAGGAATTGTTGGACGTGAAAACACTACACACAAGTTAGATGCTGTAAAGACGTTACTATTACGAGGCAATACATCAGTGCGAAACAATGGTAAAAGTATATTCAGCATGTCAACAAAATCGAAAAAGAAATGTGGTCTATTGATCACAAAACTGATGAACTTTTCGATGCTGTTCCAGTAAGTCCAACTGACAGTTCTTCTACTGACAGTGAAAGTGAAGTTAAAGATGATTTAATACTATTAAAAATAAACTATTCAAAATTAGTTCTTATCTACGAATCATTTATGGAAATCATCCATGGTAAGTTTTTCTTAATAGAATACTTTTAAATAGTTATTTAAAGAATTATTTATAATAATAGTTTTTGGATTATATTAATCATACCTAAAATATTAAAATATTTAAAAAACAAAGGACTCGCAGTTTCCTTATGGCATATATATGTTGCAGTTTTTGACTTCTTGCAGTTTGTGACCTCTTGATTAAAAGTGTACTTGGGGACAAAGTTCTCCTATGACTAGTTTTTGAGATTCCCATAATTTTCAAAAATACTTTAAGGAGTAACTGTTATGTTGTTGATATTCATAAATATAATAAATGTTACCAAAATACAATAACAACTATTTTGGAAAATAACTATATAGGGTGACTTTTTTTAAAATTAAAGTTAAAAATTTGCATATTTAAAAAATCGTTTGTCTTAAATAATAAATATAAATGAAATACGAGTGTATGTAAATGACACCTAAATTAAAAAAATAAATGTATACTGGATGAGCCAAAAAGTTGGTTCAAAGAGTGTCGCTATTTTACAATATATCCTGTATATTGTAATGTGTCCCAAACAAGTACAATATCATATTTACAAAAATATATACTTCAAACTTTAACCATCATAACAGGGAGAGTAAAAAGTTTTATGAGGTTGACATAGTATTAGTAACAATTTGTAAACTACTAAAATTCGTAACATTTTTCTTCAATTTCCTAATAAACATATTTAATAACTGTTGCTGGAATTTGATATTTAAATTAACTTACAAAAAAATCAGTAAAAGGCAGTATTAGAATTGATCACATATAGAAAAAAAAACTAGTCATAGGAACATGTATTAACTCGTTAACATATACTTGTTATACTAGAACGTTTCTTAACGTCAGTTATATTTTTTTCAAAGCCTCCGAAAGCCATTTGCCATAAGAAAACTGCGAGGTCCTTTCTACTGGAAACCCAGATTACCCAATTTTAAATCGTCTTGTTGAGCATTTTTGTCGGTTGATCCAACCAAATTTCGTACATTATACATTTAAGGACCGATTCCACCGTTGTGTTAAACGGAGATTAAAATGACGTTGTTAATGTAAAAATGTCATTTTTAATTTCGTTTAACACAACGGTGGAATAAGACAGTCAAGTTTAGCAGTAGTTCCCGTACTTGGCAACACTTAATGGACAATAATTGAAATGGGCATTGAAAGAGGCATTCTATGCAACATTTATTTGTTAAAATAAATATTGTTAATTGTAAACAGAATGTCCTTTGTAAGTTTTGTCATTTTATGACAAAAACATTCCAACGCTCTATGTACTTGTTCAAAAATATAATTCAAATAATAACATTTGAATCAACCTATCACTTGAGAGCTACCCTTTACTAAATTTAGGAACGGTTTATCAATCGGCAGTTCTTATGTTTACTTGAATTGTTCAATAAAATAAAATTTGTTATACACCAGAAATTGATTTATAAATATCTTAAAATTTTTAATTCTAATTGCATGGAAAAGTATGTAATTTTTCTAAATAGACTCTGTAAAATTTAAAGAAGAAAATTAATGGATAAATTCCTGAACACTAAAGGTTAAAAACAAACCAAAGCAAAATTTAAAATCCCCTGTGGGAATTGAAAACACGACCTTTGGTATACTGAACCATTATTCTAACCACAGGAGTGTATGCACCCTGCAATTAATTTGAGGTGCAGTGTTCAATTCCCACTCGGTGCTTCAGACCTTCCTTCCTCCATCAATGGAAAACATACATTTGGTTGGTCCAGAATGTTCTTACTACACAATTGATATATAAAAATATATGATAAAATAATACTTAGTATGGGCTTACCTGAAATAGAAGAATCATGGACTGTCCAAAGGTTTTGAAGTTGTAAACATCGTCGAGACCACTTTTGTTCTTGACGTGCATGAAGAACGACATGCCGAAGATAGCGAAGATGAACATGACCAAAAATAGTAGTAAACAGATGTTGAAAAGGGCAGGCAGTGACATGGCAAGTGCGAAAAGCAGTGTGCGGATCCCTTTTGCTCCCTTGACCAATCGCAGAACTCTGCCGACTTTCGCGACTCGAACAACTCTTAACAAAGTCGGTGACACAAAGTATTTTTCAATAATATCACTGAGCACCAATCCCAAAATTGATAATATAACAACCACTAAATCGAAAAGATTCCAAGGTTCCGTAAAATAGTGATAACGCAAAGCAAACATTTTCATGAGGCACTCGGTACTAAATATAACTATGAAAATCATATTTAGGGAGTCCAAAACTTTAGTAAAAGTCTCTTTCTGTTTGTAGTGGTCCATTGTCATTGTTAACATGTTTAAACCTATAAACAACATGATGAACATGTCGAACTTCTTGTTCGTAACTATTTCAAAGACGATGGCTTGAGGTCTCCACTGAAAAAACAATTTTATTTTAATTTCATTTTTAAATGATATAGTAAATTTTAACCAAAAAGGTTAATAAAGGTTACTATACTTTCATACACTTTTAAATATATGGGTAAATTTTAGAATTACAGAACTAGATTCAGAAATGTACTTCTAAAATGAAAGTGAAAAAACAATAACAGAAATAGATACAAAATAAGTAATGCAAATAATTTTTTAAAAAAATACGAATTTACGATCAGAAGAAAGAGATGTTAGATAAAGGTACTATAGAATGGAAAAAATAGTTTGCTAGGAAGAGTATAATGATTTGAAAAAGCTGCAAAATATGACAAAATTTTAATAAATATTTTACCCTCGGTCTAGGGATAGCTTTCATAGGTTTCTTGGATCCCATTTTCTTCATCGCGTTGTAATATTTCTTCTGGTCTTCAGTCATGAACATTTCTAGAGATCCTCCTGCGTAAAAATTACTTAAATCATTTTATTATCTTAAAAAAAGAATACACGACTCAATGAAAGTAAAATGTAAATATACTTATCTTCTTCTTTTGTTCATTAAAGTTATCAATAATAACTCCAATGAACAGATTGAGAGTGAAGAAAGATCCAAAGATAATGAAGAATACAAAATAGAGATACATATAGATATTCGTTTCTCTAATAGGCTGCTTGTACATCTGCAAAAGATAAAAAGAAAAATAGTAATACGAGCCGATAAAACTGGAAAATAAATTAACCTCTCTGGAGTCAATGGCGTCGTTCATGATTTGGATCCACCCTTTGAATGTCGCTACTTGAAATAGACATAGATATGCTTTACCGACGTGGTCGAAATTCATCGGTGAATTTTCCCAAGTGTAGTTTTCAGCTTTGCAAGCATTTACATCAGGGATTATTTCGAAACTTAGTGTTGTCTTATTACTATCCACACACTAAAATTGTACCATATAATTAATCGATTACTCTATTTTGTTTTTCGAGGATTACCTTATAATATTTGCCCGCGAATAATTGTACACCCATAATAGCAAATATCAACCAAAATATTAAGCACACTAGCAGTACATTGAAGATGGATGGTATAGCCTGAACCAATGCATTTACTACTACCTACAATATAAGTTTACAAAATTATTATTAATTTTATAAAACGATTAGTTTGATTTAGACCAGGAACAATATATTGGATATCGTCGGCCTAATTTTAAAACCTCGTAAGTCAGTCCACATAACATCAATGTTCTATGAATATACTAAGAATGTTCTGTCTATGTTCTTTTTAGTATATGCTTTCTAAAATGTTCTTAGAACATACCTAGTATATACTTTGAAAGTATATTCTAGAAAGTATATGCTGAGAACGTGCTATGAAAGTATATTCTAAAAAGTATATACTGAGTACGTGCCTTAAAAGTATATTCAAAAAAGTATATACTCAGCACGTGCTATAACAGGACATTCTTAGAAGATACCAATTCTGGTATGAATTTTCATATACCCAGCATGTTCCTCATATTCTGAGAATGTTCTAAATGCTTGCAGGTAAAAATTAACACCAAATACATGTAAAAACACGTTTATATGCACATCTATATAAATTTTTCCCAGATGTTGATCTGATAATTCGTTAGCAAACGCACTAACGTTGAGGGTTCAGACCAACAAACATTTGCCACTTTAACAGAAGAGAAGAATAACATAACCTACAATTCCTACAAATTTTTTAGATCACGTTTCAGTTAAGTAAATTATTAAAAAATAATTGCATCGTGTGTTGTATATAAAAATAAACAAATTTTACTATATTTGTAGTTTTTAGGACTATACAGTGTTACCAGAATTACATACACAGTTTCTACGAAAAAATATTGTAAAGCCAGAAATTGACCTGGAAGAACTATAAAATTAGCTAAAGGAGGTCGAAAACTACAAAATGGTGGTAAGTAATTAACAAAAATATATTTAAACTTTCACTAAACATAATAATCATTTATGTAACTCTTGTTTTTGTTAGTGGAATGCCATGTACAATTTTTAATGTTTTACGTTCGACAAAATATTCCATTAGCTATGTACACTTAATTTGTATATGTACCAAGTTTGTTGATTTTTTTATTTTTTAGGTTCAATGAAGATCCAATGGAATCAAGCAATAAAATATTGGTTGGTTAAGGTCAAAGAAAGAATTTGTAATAAAAATAAGATAGGTATATGATTTTTTTTAAATCAATATTTTAAAAATGGTCACGATTTTCAATATTATATAGGTACACTTATTCTTTAATGTTCAATATTAATCAAACAGCCTGTATTATGGTGTCTAGTATATGCCCAGCATATGTTATATTTAAATACTTAGCATATATTTAGAACGTACTATCAAATTAGATTAGATACCTATTGCATGCTGTACACATACTCGAAGTACATTCTCAGTATCTGCATAGCACGTATAAACAACGTCACGTAGCATATTCTTGGTATATTCTGAGAATGTTCCAAATGCAAATACAGTATATTCTCAGCATATGCACATTCTTAAAAAGCATATACTGAGAATATGCTAAGAATGTATAATTGTTATTTGGGAGTTTTGACAATTTTTACAAAAGAGCTTAAAACCATCCAATTTTGGAAAATTACAACAACAATTTTATCAAAAAGTAGCCAAATTATTTCAGCACATAATATTTAAAAAATCAATGCGTTTTACGAAATTGGATGGTTTTTAAGCTCTTTTAAGCGGACTCACGAGGTTTTAAAATTAGAATCACCAAGTCAAGTGCCTCAGCATTGCCTTAATTTACAATTAGTTATTGTTTCGATTATGTTTAAGTAGTTATATTCATCTGAAGTACATTGTTATTAACTGAGTTAGAACTTTAACTGTAATTTTTCAGTTAAAACTTGTAATTAATTCGATGGGTTGGTGATGTACTTACCCTCATACCCTGCATACGAGACATCGCACGCAATGGTCGAAGAGCTCTCAGCGTTCTCATAGTCTTGAAAGCTTGAATGCCACCAGCTCCTACCAAAGAAGCGACAAAGTTGATTAGAGATACCATTACAATAAGAAAATCGAGCCAACACCAGGCATTTGTGAAATATTTTTGGAAACCCATAGCTAACCACTTGATCAACATCTCAAAGAAGAAAATGACAGTAAATATTCTGTCCATGTAGTACAATATATCCTGTAAGACTGGTCTTTGAGAAAGATGGACATCTTCGAGAGCTAGAGCTAAGCTACTGAGCAATATCATAGTGATGACTGCTGTCTCAAAGTATTTATTTTCTATGAGTTGGAACGTTTTGTAACGAAGATTGCCCCAACCTTGCCAGAAAGGCGAATCTTCATCTCCAGCAAGGAATGGGAATTTCTTATAGCATTTCTCAGGGAAACAATCTGCCGAGTATTCGTCGATTATGATATCTTCTGTAGCCGCATCTATGATCAGATCTTCATCTAATGGTCCTTGACAATCACATTCGTCTTCCAATTCTAAAATAATTAATTTACTTACTTACAATCTACTAAATGATATCAATTGTAGTGGGCTACTATTTGGAATTTAATCAACCAATGTTAAGAGCTGATAGATGGATAAAACTTACCTTCATCAATTCCTAATTCTTCTTTGCTAGCATCTCGTTTTTCTTCTTGTTCATCTAATACGTCGACACTGCCTTTGTGACTTTCATCTTTAAACCTATGTTTATGACTGCCATAAGACTTGTTACTAATTTCATCATCATCTAAATGTCCGAGAAAATCTCCGTGTTCTAAAATAGAATTTCCTATTTTATTCTTGCTAATGGCATTTTTGGCCCTTTTAATATTTGTTTTTGAGTCACCATGTATTGTAAATTCCATACCATCACCTATAGTTACTTCTAATCTATCTTTTGGACTTTTCTTATCTTTGAATATCATACCATCGGCTAATATTTCATCGCCAGGAATGTCTAGGCCTCCGTCGCGAGGATCTAAAATGAACACTTCTATAACTGACATGATGTAATCACGAAAATCAGTACAAACTATTTGGAATTTCAAAGACTTAAGTAAATAAATATTTTTAGTTTGTGTGATGTTTATGACATAAATATATTGATCGAAACAGTTGGAATAAAATAGCTCTATTCTAGTCTAACGTCTATAAAAATATGTAGAGGGGACAACATGCAACTTGTTGCAAAGGTTACTATGAAGTATTTATATATTTGTAAAGTCAAATGTGATATACATAAAATAATGAAATCTTAAAATATAGATTAAAGAATTATTCAAAAATGTTCTATTACTAAAGGCTAAGACAATTCTATTTGATATTATTCAAAAATTGTGTAGAAAATTATAGTATAAGAGTTAAAGAAGATGCACAGAACTAACTCAAAATTAGATACAACATGTTTTGCAAATTTCAAGTTCTTTTTAAAATCAGTACTATAAAAAGTTTGACTTGATAGGTTATGTTAGCTTTAACAATATCAATAGCTAAAGTGGTATATTAAAACATTATGTCCTTTGGTTTGAATTATTACTCTGCAGCATGGATTACGACTTTTTGGCGTATCTCTACGGCTTTGGTTTTTCTTTTTCAAGTTTCAGAAATTTTATTTGATAGACTATCAATGTCACACGAGCAGTTATTTTGACACACTTCTAAATAATAAAATTTAAATAAAGATTCATAGAAATTTGTAGAAATTCATAGAAATTCATAGAAATTCATAGAAATTCATAGAAATTCATAGAAATTCATAGAAATTCATAGAAATTCATAGAAATTCATAGAAATTCATAGAAATTCATAGAAATTCATAGAAATTCATAGAAATTCATAGAAATTCATAGAAATTCATAGAAATTCATAGAAATTCATAGAAATTCATAGAAATTCATAGAAATTCATAGAAATTCATAGAAATTCATAGAAATTCATAGAAATTCATAGAAATTCATAGAAATTCATAGAAATTCATAGAAATTCATAGAAATTCATAGAAATTCATAGAAATTTATTCTATTATTACGCATGCGCGTTCCGAAGTACGCCACAGTGATCTATAACCTACTACGAGCTGTCAATTGTGCTCAACTAAAAGTTAAGACTATACCGTCGGATAGATGGCGTATTACTAGTGTGACAAATCAATTTAAACGTTATAACATGTTTATCTAATTTTTGGTTGAATCTGATGTAAATAATCTTCCTCGAAACTATACTACATGCGATCCAAATACCGTCTGAACAACTGTATGTAATAGAAGCACTACAATGTGAAAGTAACAAGCACAAAAATGAGCGAGCTATTCAGATTTGTTGGATAAAAACCTTGGTTCCAACTGTTGGAGGGTCCCTCACCTGACGGCTGGTCGGAAATTTGGTTAGTTAATTTAAATCTAATCAACTTAGCGATATCTGCCACGCCAGCCTTGATCCATTTGATGAAACGACCGATCCGATCAAATGCTTCGGCTATTTTGTTTGTGTCGTTATCAGCAGTGGGCGCCGATAAACTCGATGAACCAAAGTTGCTCAAAAGCAAAGCCAAGAAGAGATTCAGTACCTAAAAATAAACACATCTTTGAAAACCATGTATCAAAATGCAGTTAAATTTATAAAACAAAATCGTTTTTATTTAGTACTTACCACAAAATTACCAATGACAACAGTGGCTAGGAAAAATGGTATACAGGAAACATCACCGACTAGCATACAGTCCCACATTGATTCGATCCATTCTCCACACAGCACACGGAATACTATCATAAATGAATGCATAAAATCTGTAAAATTCCATCTAGGAAGTTCGTGGTCTGGAAACCTATCTACATTATCTGAAAATATTAAAGAACAAATAATGAATCATCATTTAGTGATTATATTTGGATAGTTAGATGCAAAAAAACAGTATCTTACCTGTATAATTTTTTCCAAATAACTGCATACCCATAACAGCAAATATAAATATTATAATGCACAGCACAAAGGTCAGGTTACCTAAAGCACCCATAGTTCTACCCATTATTGAAATAAGTAAATTTAAAGTTGGCCATGACTTGGCCAGTTTGAACACTCTTAGCTGAAATAAAACAGATGAATTAATAATATGCATAGAGTGAAACAACGAAGTACTTACCAATCGAAAAGATCGTAACACGGATAAGCCTTGGACCCCTTCAAGGCCCAGTTCCAGTAACGATAAGGCTACGATGATGAAATCAAAAATATTCCACCCTTCTTGAAAGTAATATTTCGGACTCATGGCTATCAGCTTCATGGTTGCTTCTATCATGAAAGTTGCGGTGAAAAACTACAACAAAAATATTTATAATGGAAAGGAACTGGAAAATTTGAAATAGTACTTACGTAGTTGCCGCTTTTGAGAGCTTTCTCAAGATCTCTGTCCATGTCGTGGTGATCCAAAGCCATAAAGAGTGTGTTGACTACAATACAGAGGGTGATGAAGAGCTCGACGAATGGGTCAAAGACGACAAGAATGATAAACTTCTGAAAAGCCAACCAGGTAGCACAACAATCCCATACGCAAAATATGTCAATGACTCTCATAGTAAATGCTATAAATCTTTCTTTGAGAGTTGGCTCTTCTTCCTCCTCATCATTTTGGGCTGAGAAATAATAAACAGAAACTGTACGAAGCATTAGTATGAATGAAGTTGACACACTCTTTTTTGGGAAAAGAGGTTTTGTGCAGTATGAGGTAGTGCGATAGCCGTTCTTAACCGCTGGTTAAGTTTTTCTCTGATAATGTACTTGCAGCAAGCTAAATGTTAGGTAGAGCTGTTGTTGTCATAAATATTATAAGCAGCTCTGCGCTGAAGTATCAAATGGTTTATTTTCACTTGGAAAATATTATCGCACAAGAGAAAACAGCAGAAAAAAATTTTGACACCATCGAAATATGCTTTAGTAATCTTTTGGGTTAAGAACAAATATTAAGCACTTGACAATCTAGTTAAGTGATTTTTTAGGAGCGACATGCTACAACAAATTACAATTTCAGCTCAAACTCAATGACGTGATGACCGTTGGCTAACTTTAATTTTTACTTCGCAAGAGGAAAGTCTCCTTGTTTATACATTTTAAATGCTTTTATAAATATTTTTTAACATAGGATGCTATTCATGATGTAATTAATAGTAGTTCAGATGTCTTTAAAGAAAGTAAAAATCACAGTAAAAAAATGGTATTTGGACAGTCATAATAGCATCGTATAAAATATATATGAGAAATACGTTAAAATAGTTATTTTTTTTCAATGGACTATAAAAATACCGTGTCGCCTACGGCCAGTAAATGAAACTAATTTTAATGTAGGCCTCCTAGTTCTATTTTTGAAGGAGGTACTAATGTATGCTAAATGGACATTAAAGAGTATATGTAAATGTATCTATTGCCTATATTAAGCAAACGGACACAACACTTTTACAATTTGGTATGCTTACTTTTAATTATCAATGTTTCAATAATCCAGATCTTTAGAAAAGGACTTGAACACACTGGAAGAATAAATGTGAAAAGAAAATTTCGTCAATTGAAATTTGTCAGAAAATGTGTCCATTGCTACAATGATTTCTATAAAAGTCTACGAAATTTTGTGCTCCAATACAACAGGTAATGTGCCAAATATTGTTATGTAATTTAATTTTATTTACCTAAAGTATTAACTTGTTAATTTTCCTCCGTTTAAGTAAAATTTGTAGTAAATAAATATGAATTAGTTTTAGTTCAAAAACAAAAAAAAATATGAGTGCGTTGTAAGGCAATAGTACCAGTTTAAGCAAATTGCGATGGTGTGGTAATAATGTGTGGGATGTTTTCGGAATTTGAGAAGAAAAAATTTCAACCTACCTCCGTGCTCACTTGCTCTACTCTGTCTGCCCGCAGCTTGTTCAATTATGTCGTTCAGAACCATTACATCTATAATAAAACATTTCATGAAAGAATTATGTATTAATAATATTCTCCTCATAACTCATCCCTTTACGAGTGAATCCCTGATGCTCTAAAAGTAGAGCTGATCAACACAAAGATGATTGATGGTGCCATTTGACTCACAGTTGAGAAAAACTACACCCACCATAATCGACAAGATAGCCAGATCTAGATGTACGAACAAAAACTGAATACTTGGCGTTGAGTCATTTTACCTATTATTGGTCTTGACATTTGTCTTAGAACAGATATAATGACGACCAAAGTAACTGAAACTATTTGAAAATAATTAAACTATAAAATTACTCACCTTTCATATCCACTACAGTTTGTCTTTCATCAATAAATGGATTGTCTAAATGCTTTAGTTTTCCCTCACATAGTTGTCCTGTTGGTCCATCCTAAATACAAATAATGATTTGGTAAATTTATTATAAAAAAATATTCTTTTCTTACATAATCTCCTCTGTGTGCTCTATGGTTGTACTCGGTATAATTATTCGGCGTATTTGTAGCTGTTGCAGCAGGTGGTGGACCAGATCTCAACGATCTATTTCTTAACTGGCTCTCTTTTGTCAAAACTTTACCATTTCCACCCAAACCACAGAGTAAATCTCCGTGAGAGGTGTACGATATTCTTGAGGCGTGGGAAGTGTATGATGAATGACGTGAACCTAATGCAATCCATGTTATTAACAGGTTTAAAAGAGAAATAACGAATTAAAGTATTGAATATGTTGAAGTGAACTGTATAAAACCCTGATTTATGAAGATTTATTGTAGATTATTTAATTAAAATATCGGAAATTATTAGTATGACTTTTTATATGATTTATATATATAAACTTCAGTTTAACAATATATTTTAACAATAAAAGTACTTGTACATGGATACTAAATTATACAGGACGCATAATTATTCCTATGATCTTAACACCTTCCCTCATTGGATAATTTTGTGAGTCCCATAGATTCTCGAAGTGCATTAAGTCTTGGCTCAAACAAAGGTTTTGTTAACGCATCTGCAATTTGTTTATTTGAATCGACCTTTAGAACATCGACCGATTCTTCCAGTACAAGTTCTCTGATAAAGAAATGCCTGATTCTGATAGGTTTTGTACGACGATGAAGTTCTGGGTTTTGTGCCAATTTGATTGACGCTCCATTGTCAATAAAAATATTTGGTAGACGTCTTAACTTCACAATTTGTTGATAAAGTCGTTTCAACCATATAATTTCTCTAGCAGCTTCACTTGCAGCTACTATTTCGGCTACCGTAGTTGAGATTGCAACGGAACTTTGACGTCGACTCATCCAGGAAACAGCACCTCCTGCGTAGATACAGACAATACCCGTAGTGGAACGTCCTGTGGTCTTATCTCCCTCCATGATCTGCGTCGCTATAACTGTCTATACAACCCTTCTTGTAATTTGGTTTGTAGGTTATGCCAAAATCAAAAGTACCCTTCAGGTATCTAAAAATTCTCTTTACTAATGTAAAATCTTCTGCCTTAGGATCTTCTAGGTTTCTAGATGCTACACCTACGGCAAAAGCAATATCTGGTCGTGTACCAGTCATTAAATAAATTAATGCTCCTACAGCTTCTCTATAAGAGAAAGGTTTATTTTGATCATTATTTCTTCTAGGTTCTCTTCCTTCCCTTCTTGATAGCTCTTTACAATCGGTGTAGATACTGGCTTGCAGTCTTGCATACCAAATCGTTGTAACAATTTTTTTGTGTAGGCACTTTGGTTGACGGTGATTTCTCCATCTGCTCTTCTATTTATTTCTAGACCAAAAAAATAAAAAGCAGGTTTTATGGTAACTTTAAATTCATTTCTTAGGTCTTTCAGAAATTTATTTTTCATGTCTTCATTATTTGATGCTAGCAAACCATCGTCTACATATAATGCCAAAATTAGCATATCGCCGTTTTATTTCTTCACAAAAAGACGTGGGTCTGCCTCACTTTCTGTAAAGCCTTGAAGAATAATGAAGTCAACAAATATTTTATTCCAGCATCGAGGGGCTTGTTTGAGACCGTAAAGGCTTCTATTCAGGCGACATACTCGATTAGTATCATCTTGATAACCTTCTGGTTGTCTCATAAATAACTCTTCTTTTAATTTTCCATATAAAAATGCTGTACATACATCAAATTGTGTTAAAATCATATTTTCGCTAGCAGCTATACTTAGCAAAGCCCTTATAGTACCCAACTTTGCAACTGGACTAAAGGTTTGTTCATAGTCTTCACCTTTTTTCTGTGAATAACCTTTTATTACTAATCTTGCCTTATACTTCTCAATGGAACCAAGAGTCCAAGTGTTGTTTTCTGCAAGAGATTGCATTTCTTTTCTCATTGCCTCTTTCCACTGCTCTTTATCATATCTTCTCATGGCTTCTTCATAAGTTAAAGGCTCCTTAGACTGGAGTATATCAGTTGCAACAGACATTGCAAAGTCTTCAAATCTGGCTGGTTTTCTAAGATTTTCTCTGTTTCTAAGAATTCTACCAGATTCTTCATGGTTTTCATTTTCTGAAACTTCATGTTCTTCACTTATTTCTTTTTCAATGTATGTTTCATTCTTATCTCTGGCTTCATCACTTTCTTCAATATTTTGTTCTATATAATCTTCTGAATTCCTATTTACAGACCCTTCTGATCTTCTATCAAACTGGCTTTGAGTTGGTTGACCATTGCTTTGATTTGTATCAGATAGTATGGTAGGCATATTTACAGAAGATAAAATTATTTCGTCAAAAGTGACATCACGAGATCTTATTAGTATTTTGGTTTCTTTACACCAAATACGGTAACCATCATTGTTGTCATATCCTATGAGTATTCCCTTTACAGCCTTTTTATTCATTTTCTTTCGTCGCTGTTTAGGAATGTGAGCATAGCAGGTGGTTCCTATGACTCTTAGATGTTTTAAACATGGTTTCTTACCGAACCATACTTCAAACGGAGACTTTCCATCGACTCCAGAAACACCTGTTCGATTGAGGATATAGCCTGCTGTATTCACCATTTCTGCCCAAAGGCAACCCTTCCTTGCCATTTCAACAATAGTTCTATTGTCCCTCTCTGAACAACCATTTTGTTGAGGACAATAGGACATTGATAATCTATGTTTCACTCCATGCTGACGAAGAATTTGCTTAACTTGCTTGTTTACAAATTCTCCTCCATTGTCAGTTAAGGGCTCCTTCATAACATGTCCAATAGTTTTAATCTCAGCTATAACAACCTGTAGATAATCAGCTACTTCAGACTTTTCCTTCATAAAATATACAAATCTAAACCTACTAAAATCGTCCTTAAATAAAACAAAATATCTGTAACCTGACTGGGATTTCTCAAAAGGTCCACATACATCAGCATATAAAAGTTCTCCTGGAGATGTTGCTCTGTCTCTATGACCAAATTTGAGAATATGTGCCTTTCCGTAAATACAGCCTTCACAGAGTTTATTATCTAAATTTAACTTTATACCTAGTTCTCTAGAGATTACCATTCGAACATGTTTCTTGTTTTGGTGGCCTAATCTTTCATGGTATAATTGAAGGAGATTTTTATCTGTGACTGAATTTATTTCAGATTCGGTCTTGTTTGTAGGTCTAGATTGCAGAGCTAGCTTGTCTACTTCTTTTACCTACTAAGACTGTTCTGCCGGCTATTTCCAAGGAACATTCCTCAGCAGTCGAGTAAAAGCTGCTTTCTTCTTGCTTGTCTTGTGCAAAAAGAACTGAAAATAGATTTTTCTTTATTTTTGGTACATACCAAACATCTGCAAGGGTAATTAAAATTTTTCTTCCATTTACTATGGTTTCAAGCTTTATGTCACCTTTTCTTAAGGCTTCAACGGTATCATTATTAGCTGTGGTCACTGTTTGAAGTTTTTGAAATGATTCGTAGGATTCAAACAAATCACGACTGTTGCAAATGTGATTTGTTGCTCCATTATCAACGAACCAACTTTCTCTGTCGCAGTAAGCTAATAAAGCGGTATTTGACTCTGCCAACAGGGTAACGTTCGAGGAGGAAGGATAACTCGCAACGTTATTGGATGAAGCAGCACCAGCAACAACCGTATTTGATTTTGGAGATCTTCCATCAGCCTTCCATTTTCACACTGCTTAACTTTGTGACCTGGTTGTTTACAATATTTACAAATCAACTGTTTCTTTGATTTACCTTTCCAGCTATTAAATTTCTTAGATGCTAAAAGAACTTCTTGACTATATTCACATTTGTTGGATAGAGATTTCTCATAAACACACAGTTGACTGGTTAAATTTTCGACCGTTCTTTCTGTTTTGTTCATCAGAATCCAACTTGATTTAAATGGAAAATAATCCTGCGGCAAAGTTCCTAATGTTTTGCAAATTAATAGCAAATCTGGCAAATTACAACTACAGCTTTTCCCACTAACAGTTTTTTTCTTTTAAAATTTCATTTTGTAAATCATTCCAAACATTTTTTAATTTTGAAATATGTGTGGCAATATCATCTTCAGCTTCTTTGTTATAACTAAAGAACTGGATACAGAGGTCATATGTTTTATCTTCTATTACACCATCATATAATCTTTGAAGCTCCAACCACACTTCTCTGGCTGTTGTATATCTCATTACTTTTTCTAAAGTACTTTGAGTTATATTAACGGTAAGTATAAGAAGTGTACTGTTATCCGCTTGATTAAAATTAGCGAAGTCCCTGTCATACTTGGCTTTTTGTTCTGGTGAGGCATCTTCTTTTAAAGGTAAGGGTGACTTTAGTTTACCTTCTAAAAGTTCATATGAACCAGTAACACTTCGTAGTAAAATACTTATTTTGTACTTCCATGTGTGCCAATTCGACTTGCCTTCAAGTAACCCAATGTGCAGCTTACTTACATCCATTTTATTTTGGGTTTGGTTTTCCAAAATAATATACTTAGTTGCAAGGATCTACTTTGACAAATATTTCTCGAATATATTTTATTTGAAAAAAATCTTCAATCTTTACTTTCTCAAGGAACCACGCTCTGCTACCATGTTGAAGTGAACTGTATAAAACCCTGATTTATGAAGATTTATTGTAGATTATTTAATTAAAATATCGGAAATTATTAGTATGACTTTTTATATGATTTATTTATATAAACTTCAGTTTAACAATATATTTTAACAATAAAAGTACTTGTACATGGATACTAAATTATACAGGACGCATAATTATTCCTATGATCTTAACAGAATAAACCAGCCAACCATGGTCTGTGACTAATAGCCATTCAAGACCTTTGGCTGTGACGAAGTATAGTTTATAAAAGCAAGTATAGTTGGATAGTTACTCTACTTACCTAAATTGGCATAATAAATAGGGACAACCATAGCTCCGTTCTCTTCACTCATTGGTGTTACTGCATTGGAATCATCGGCGTAAGGTAAATGTTCTTGAGCATCCAAATAGGTGGACAAAACTAATGGTTTGCGGTCACCCGGATTTGGAATCATGCGTCTGTTACTGCGCATACAAGTGAATTGATGGCTCCCTCTAGAACCCCGCCGAGGATTGAATGGCGAACCAGGCAAGCTGAGGCTGGCCTGCATATGGAATAAGCTCTATGTGTGAGTTATTTAATATGTTTATACTTACAACAAATAACCTTAGAATATGTATTCTGCAATATACTTTTTAAAACTGGTGTTATTTCTAATATAGAACATGTGAGAATTTAATAATATACAAAAGTTTATTGATTAGTTTCATACATGTTTTGTTTGTAGTAATTGAGTGAAAACTGTACTCTTAATTGTTAACATTGTAAAAGAGTTTCATTAAGCCATTATAAAACGTGTATTGTTTAATATTTATTTAACCTGTCGTTAAAAATGAGTTTCAAAATTTAAAAAGCAAATTGTTGCTATGCAATTTATCATTACTAAATATTTCACTTTTAAAAATTTACAAAATTTTGTTATCAATATTGACAAGATTTAGAAAGTCTCAATGAGCAAAACCTGAAGAGGCACTTATATGAAGACAAGCAAGCACGTCATACAGAAGTCATGACCAGTGGACTACCACCATCAATAGATCAAAAAAAAAATTAATATTTTAAACATCGCAAGTTATAATGTGAAAATGCGGTGAAAACATCCAAAATTAGGGAAAGAATAGAAACTCAATAAGGAGTAAAAAACTCTTTCACTATATATACTAGCTTTTACGAATAAGGAAGAGGTCAAAACAGTTTATGAAATTAATAAATTCAAGTTGATGCACTAAGAAAGCCAAAATTAATTAAACAGTGCAAATAATATTAAAATTAAATTAGAAGTGACTTAGCCAACCTGGGGCTACAGTGATTGGTCAGATGGATTTCTCGGAATTGTTAAGACCTTGCCAACTCTACTTACTACAACTGTCAATTTCGTTGTGTTCGGTGTGTAAGTATCTGTTTGACTGAATCATCTGTGGGAGTTTCTGTAGATTGTAAAAGCTAGAGAGGGATTCCAAAACATGTGAATATTAAAGGATTTGAGAGGATGAAAGAGAATTGGTGCTGGAGAAGAGGTTGAGAAAGGAGAGAAGTGTGATAGATTTATGAAAATGTGGGTAATATGATAAAAAAGTAAAAGCAAGAAGAAGGATAAAGAGGATAGTATTAAAGAAATAAAGAAAATAAGAGATGAGAGCGTGAGTAGAATGCAAAGAAGTTAGAAATAAATGAAGAAGAAATTAGGATATATTCAAATGATAAAAAGGTAACAATAGAAGATAAAAGGGGGATGCAGATAGATGAGAAAAAAGTTAAAGCAATTTTGAATTATTACAAACGGTTAATCCCGAATTTAAGTGATTAACAGCCGTATGCATAGTCGATCGCCAGCGACTCGTCAGATATTCGCTGGCGATCCGCCGGCGAAAGCCCAAAAAGCTGGCGACTCGCCGGAGATTGTCACCGGAATGTCATTTCACGCAAGTTTTTATTTTCTTTTATAGGGATTATCACCGGTATCTCTCGCATTTTATTCATGATTCATTTCTTAAAACTCAAAAAATAATGAACGAATATCAAATTTTTCCCTATATAAGAACATGAAAATTTGCGTGAAATGACATTCCGGTGACAATCTCCGGCGAGTCGCCAGCTTTTTGGGCTTTCGCCGGCGGATCGCCAGCGGATCGCTGGCGATACGCCGAAATGAATCTCTGGCGAGTCGCTGGCGATCGACTATGCATACGGCTGTAAGTGTCTTGATTCAACTGTTGAAGAAAAGGGAAAAGGTATCGATAGATAAAGAAAAGAGGCTTGGTGCCAGTGAAGGTTTTTTCAGAATTTAAAGAAATAATTTAGTAGAAGATAGAAAAGTTAGCTGGTACAAAAAGAAGTAAAAGTTGTATCCAAGTTGACGAAAGCGTATGAAAAGAATTAAAGTGAATCAGAGTTAGAATTAGCTATTGTAATCTTTTGTATACGGAAGTTGTGCTTCTATTTAGGAGGGAAATTTGTAGTTGACACAGATCATTTGGCGTTGATATCAGTTTTAAAAAATAGGTTTGGAAACAATAGTACGGTCTAATATGTCAAAATATATACAGTCCTGGGAAAATAAATAGCAGAAGTGATGCATTAACAAGAGGCATTAACAAGGAAGATATAAAAAAGGAAAAATCGTTAATATAGGGATAAACGCAATGAAAGACACAGAAGGATGGTTTTTAATAGATTACATTATTTTGGATCAAAGGAAGAAAGAACATGGTAAAATGGTAAAGTTTTTATAAAAAGCTGTGAAGAGAAGGAATGGTTTGTGGTGAGGTCAGATAGTATAATTTTAAAGCAGTTATATTTAGGAAATTATCATATAAGGGGAAGGAAAAAGTGATTAATGTTCCATCCAAATTATATAGGAAAAATATATTCAAAACCTCCTACCCCTCCTCCCACTTGGGAGCGGCCCTGACTGAAATTTAACATCATTATATTTCAATAATGTCAGCGACGTAGGTAAAGTAGATTAAATAAACTCATATAATTTTTTAATTTTGTCTGGCCTGTATTAATTTAGTATTTAAAAATAGTGCAAGTGTACTTTATATATTGTGTATTCTTAAACTTGCAGAATATCATTCTCAGTGTGGAATTAACAAAAAAAGGACAAAAACAATAACGGCATTCACAAAAAATGTACTAAAGAATAGTGACAACTAAAAGTAAAGTGCAGAACATTCGTTCAACATTGTTCCAATCGGTCAATGCTTAACGAATGGAGTAACACTATAATTGTCATGATCTTTATTTTAAATCCATATCCATTGAAACTTTAATAAGCAACATTTAATCTTTCCATACTATCAGAGCAGGTGACTTAATCTAAGTAACTGATAAGTTAACTTAAGGTGGAAACAAAATATTTTTGTAATTATCTATATTAGAATATGTTTTTATCTTAAAAAAATCATAATTTATTTTGTGAGATATTTTTTATATATCTAAGCTTTGTAAGCTCAATACAACATCTAATTAATATTATAGGTATTACCCATTTTTTAAATATTATAAAATATTAAAATTTTTCTGTTAATAAAGCATTTGGGAAGGAAGTTTTAAATTAGTTATTTCAACTAATACTAAAATTATCAATTTCGTTAATAAATCTGCTATACCTATGAGATATTTTTTGTAAAAATTGATTCTTTTAAAAACTTATACTGGAAATGGACCTGCATTCATTATAAATAGTTCTAGGAACAAAATACGGCATGGAATATTTTTATAACCAAGAGATAATATATTTAATAATCAAAAAATGCTTGAAAAAGAAATGGATTATTAAATTAGAACCACCTGCAATGACAGTTGAATTTTGAATGGGGGTTCAAAGTATCAAGACACTTACAGCGCTAACTTTCCGCATCTTGGTGGGATTAGTAGGTATTCTTCTCTGCTCACTCACTGAATCTAATCCTTCCGAACGTATGCTCATCTTCTCTTTATTGTTGTCATCGTGACCTTTGGCTTGCCCGACGAAGAGTTCGTAACTGTGGCAGGAAAAATCGGATGGGGACTTTACAATATCTGGACAGTTTTCGGCATGTAGTGCCGCTTCTCTAGCTTCTCTAGCTTCCTCAGCTGCCGCTGCACGTGCATCTGCTCTGTCCTGCTTTGCTTGCGCAGCCTTCTCCGCTTCCTGTCAAGTGAAACGTTCCATCAACTTTAATTCTTAAAGAAACCACTCTTAATCTAATGTAATATAATCCCATTTACCCAGTTGCGTTAGTCCCTAATGACTTATCAATATTAAGATCAATTTTTTGGATAGAATGTAAAGTTACTGCTGCGTCAGATTTTTTAAATCGATTTTGCGAGTTAAACAATAGACTCGTAGCGTATTGTACATTCTTTAACATTTAATATCTTAATTCTCATGTTTTAAAAGTCTATGATTTGTCCTAAAATTAGTAATGCTGTATTGGTTCTTTCCTTTACCCATTAGATTTGGTCGAATGTAGATTTGGTGATAAGACCTTTCTATATCCCTGCATTTCAATTCTATTTTTAGTTTTATAAACAAATAATTAAAAGATGATGTAATATGTTTCCATATATTTGTTTAAAAAAAGTACTTACCCTGATTGCTTCTTCTTCAGCTGCTTCTTCCTCTTCGGCCTTCTTCTGTAGTTCGTCATAAGACATCGCAACGATAGCTAAGATTAAATTAACCAAATAAAATGATCCCAAAAATATAATAACAATAAAAAATAACATATGCCATGGACCTGCGGATCGCAAAACCTAAAAAATACCATAATTATACATCACAATTTTGATTTGGTTATGCGATTTAGATCTTACCAACTGATAGAGGTTCTCCCAGTAGTCTTGAGTCATTAATCTAAACGCAGAAAGAAAGGCCCACCCGAAAGTATCGAAACTAGTGTAGCCATAATTTGGATTATCTCCGTAGCCTTGCAAACAGGTGTAACCGGGTTTGCATTGGCCAGCTCCTGAAGAATTCCCACACAGCGGATAGTCGCCGGTTTCATCTACATACCAGTTTGCTAAAAACATAAATTTATTCATTTAATTTAGCTGATAAAGCTAGCAACAGGTTCTAGGTTCCTATTTTACTACAGAGTAGTTTTTAACAGAAACTCCTTAGAAAATTTAAATCTTAAAGCAGAATATTACTGATTTTATAAACTTACTATCGTTAGTCATAAATCTTTCCCAGTTTTCATCAGAAAGATTTCCCCAAGAGCCATCGTTTGGAAAGTTTTTGACGCATTTTTGAGTTAGTACTCCCATGTAAATTTGTAAACCCATTAGAGCAAATACGGATAGGGAAAACATAGTTAAAATTATCACATCTCGTAGATTTTTCACGGATTCTATTACAGCTCCGACGATGGTTTTCAAACCTGAAAAATACTTAGTCATTATATTTTATATGATTTTTTTACATATTGTAATGGTATGTGTGTGATACCGTTATTTTTTCTTCCATCTCTAATATCTCAGCTCTAACCGGTGTCACGATTTTGTGTCCTGTCAACCGCTGACGTTTTTGACATTTTAATTTTTTCTGAATTTTGATATTAGGCATTCCAAACAAATGAATTACCAGTGGGCAGGTTTGGTATATCTAAGGGTGGCGACATATAGTGTATTCTATCTACTTTACGTAAAATCATGAATAATGGATTACATTTAAATATTTTATGTCAAACACAATAAAAATAATATTTAAAAAACCCACCTATACATTTCTTCATAAATTGGCAGGCTTGGCGAGTACTACTTCGAATAAAAATAGCGTCCAAGTTGCAAGACTATGTCGCTACCCCCTTAAATATACAAGAATTTCCCACTGGCACCTATTGTTTGACAGGTCGTTGGAATGCCTAATTGCAAGACGTAATTTTATAAACCGAAGTAATCTGCTATTAATTAATTGCTTTTTAATTCTCCAAGGCCGTCTGATTTATTATGGTAAGCTTTGATATTAATATTTTTGTGTTTAAGGTCTTTTATACAACGATTACACTGAAATTTATGTGTACGATTTTTTTTTATAGTGGTAATATTAAAATTTAATGGACGTTAAAAATATAACGTATGTTAAATATGAAAAGGTATTCCATAAATACATGTAAAATTTTAACTTTTTATAATTAACATATTAGTTCATTTGTACTGCAAAAATCTATTCTATAAGCAGAAATATGTTAAAAATGTAACATAAATGTGTTAATTTTATGCGTTAAATGTTGGAAATTAATAGGCGCCTATTAGTAGGCTTTAAAACTTCAACTTATATCGCAACAAAATCATGAAAATTAATCATTTTGTAAGTACATAAGTAATTTGATTCGTTGACATTACCCAAACCTTCTTCGAAAATGAAATTTTACTTATAGTCCATATAAACTTGTAGCTTTGGGTTAGCTTTGTTTCTATTAAAAAGTTGTGACCTATCAAATACTTTTATGTTGATTTAGTAGCTAGTTTTTTTTTAATATATTTGTGCATAAACAGACAGATACAATAAATATAACAGAAGGAATTACATTTATTTGACAGACCTGTAAACTTAATCACACTTTTATTGTAAATTTGAACTACCTTTAACTATCGTCCTCAGAAAGTCTAGGTACTGCTATGGGTATGATGCTGTCAATGCAATAAAATGCTGGCCGTCCTGATAACTGGATTTTGGCTAAATTGATTTTTAGTTTTTGTGTTCTATAATAATATTGACATACACTTTGTTATTAGTTGTGAGTGAGTGAGATGAACAACTTATAGGTTAAAATTAGGAACAAAATTAGGACCAAACCTTTTTGGCTTGTCTAGTTTTGTTCAATCAAACCGGGTTTTTAAAGTTTCTCGTTCTAGAATACAATAGAGAGTTATTGCAAGTTCACTTATGGTCAGTAACTATAAGTGTCGCTCTTATTTTGATATCTGAGCATGCGTAGATTACTTACATTCTAGAACTGACTTTAATAAAGATTGTGCCTGTCCTTAAATGTGGATGTTTAAGGACAGCAGATAGTGACGACTTTATAATTTTTGGTGTGCGCTCGCCAACATTCGTAACACTTCGAAGTTTTTTAATATTAAATATTTAATATCATCGTCATCTAAAACTTATAAAATAGTAATTTTTAATGCCTCTTCCATATTATGTACTATTATAAACAACAAAAAAGATCAACTGTAATTTAAAATTTTTAAAATGAGGTTAGAAATATGTATCAGGAGAAGGACTCTAATGTCAAAATTTCAGGGTTGCAGTAAGTCTTATATTAGCATGGAATTTATTTGCCTCTAATTACGTTGTCACTATTAGTGGCTGACGTTATAGAAATTTACAATATCTCTCTACTATGTTTTAAATTACAACGATCACAATGTATTGGTTATACCTACCTACTTCAATTATAAATAAATGAATTCCAAAGATAATTATATAAATTAATTCAATCTACAAGTAACTTAAAATCATCTGTGTTTAGCAATGGAGTCACTACATTTATGTTCAAGTATTATATTAAAAAGTTTCTGTTTGAAACGAGACAATTTACTTTTGAACATACTGTATCATGCAAAATATGATATCTAGCACGTTTAGGTCTGAGATGACAAATGTCATGAAATTGATTGTATCCATCAATTAAGAATTCGCTTCGATATTTTGTAAAGTATCTTTGAATTGTGACCACGGTAAGTTTCTTTTAGAATATAGAATAAACTTTACTTATATTATTGTTCTTTAGTTGAGGTGGTCTTATTCAAAGAAACTGTAAATATCTCCTACTTTTGCTTCTGCTGTGAGAGGGTCAGAAGGAGAGGAACAGTAGGTCAAAGGCGAAGAGTAGGCCAAAGCCAGAACCACTGCACCATAGCCGTAAGTTAAGTTGTAAGAAGTTGTCCTAGATTGAGTCACTTGCCTTGCTACCAAGGATTGTCCAAAGCGCAGGATGTGCTCAATGTTCACAGTGGACATAACAGACAATTCTTCATAAATAATTCATAGAAAGATATATAATTGTTTTTTAGTTTATATTTGAGTAGTATCTATTAATTATTCTTTCGTTTAGATATTTTGAGTAGAATCTATTATATTTTTAGTTATAGGACTTTGTTTAGTTTTAGCTAGCTAGTTTACGTGGTTCAGAGAATAACTCCTCTGAGACATTATAATTCATTGTGTAAAGGGATTAATAATTAAAATAAAAATTGTTATTTGAAATCATCTTATTTCCCACGTTTAACTTTATTCCAAAATAACCCGAAGTAAGGGTATTGTTACATGTTTAATACTAAACTGACTGTAAAGTGATAGAAATACCCCAAGTCCTCTGACAAAAGAATATTGCATTTATTTTTTAGTTACAGTTTGCACGTGTCTTCTTATTTCATTGCGCTTTGATATTGCTTAGCAGCGTAAACTTTATTAAGGTGCGTTTACAACAATGCAAGAAGTCACTTTAAAAAAATTAAGAATACGTTCTTCATTTTGTCTACAAATACTAGAATAATTTACATTAAATTTCCCAGCTGAACATTGGTTTTTAGCGTTTTTAGAGTTTTTAAAGATAATCCAAAGGAAGCACAGAAAATATTTATTAGATAACTCGTATAATATTTTTTAATCAATATCATTTTCTTCACAACTAGACTCTGATTCAGACTGATCACTACTTGCCGTTGTACCTAAATTAATAATAATTGATTCTAGATCAGAAACATCTAATTGTTTGTATTTTTCCCAATCGGAAACAATTATGTTTTTAGTGTGTCTTACATAATTATTTATTGTTTCGGCCTTTACTTGATGAAAATACATTTTATCTTGAATGAGTAAAACCAAATTTGATAGATTTTCACAAAACTTTTATTTTAAAAAATAAAAATTAAAAACACTATACATGACATGTTTCGAAGTACAACTTCTTTTTCAAATGTGACTAATTTACAATTCGGTATCCAATATATATGCGAAATAATTTAACAAAACAAAGTACTTAAGAAAACATCAATAACATAACAAAATAAACTAACTATTTAAAGTAAATAAGGGTACTTAAGTAATTATGATATCAATCAGATAACAATAAGATAGTATCATTACCGGGATTATCTCACAGAAAACTAGGAAAGTTATTAATATCTAATTGATCATTTAGTAGGTTATCTAATTTTTTAAATCTATTTATTTCAAGTGTTTCTAAATGGTTTAGTTTAATGCCCTTATTTTCTATATGTAAAATTTCAAAGTTGTCTGTAAAAGAATGATTTTCAGCTAAAATATGATTTGAGTAAGTAGAATTATTTTTGTTTTTTGTATAGCTATTATAATGTTCGGAATAGCGCTTTTTGAAAGTACGGCCTGTTTGACCAATATACAATTTTGGACAACTACCACAATTTAATTTATATACCCCCGATTTATTATTAGGATTAATTGTACCCTTATTGTTTTTAATATACTTCCCAAGCGTATTATTGGTTTTGAAAGCTACGTTAATATTTTGGTTTTTTAAATATGATGATACCTTTTCACTAGGAGCTCCTATATATGTAAGAGTCTTATATCTGCAATTTTGATCTTTAATTATGGGATAAACTTGTTGAATAGCATGTTTAAAAAGTTTTTCCCCTAAAATGTTGTCTACTAACTTTGAATTAAAATTATTGTTTACTGCGATTTGTTTAATGCTATTTAATTCTTTTGTGAAGTTCTCTTTGGTAAGGGGGATATTAACTAATCTATGGATCATACTGTTGTATGCTGCCAGCTTTTGTTTGTATGGATGAGATGAACTATTATTTATTGTAATATCAGTATGTGATGGCTTATGAAATATCCCAAAACTATGGCCTTTATAAATTTTAATAATATTTAAGTCTAAAAAATTAATTGAATTATCCTTCTCTGTTTCCATAGTATATTTAATATTAGGGTGTATAGTATTAATAAAAACTAATAAAGAATTTAACTGTCTACTAGTATCAGTATAAGTATATTGTCAACATATCTATGCCAATGAAGATAATGTTTACTTAAATTATTGCTATGAATTTTATGTTCTATATTATCCATAAATATTTCTGCAAGCAACGGGCTTAATGGGTTCCCCATAATAAGACCTTCATTTGCTGGGTAGATGTTATTTTGAAATTGAAAATAATTTTGTTTTAGGCAAATGTTTAACAAATTTAGGATTTCTTCTTTGATTATAATATTGACTTGATTACGATCTAATAAGTTTTCTACTAGCTTAACTGTTTCTTTAGGAGGTATACTAGGAAATAAGTTTGTTACATCGAATGATACTAATTTTGTGTTACCAGGTAATTTAATGGTTTTTAATTTTTCTGTTAATTCATAAGAATTTTTTGTACTGTACTT